CTGTCCTTAATACCTAATTTATTCATTGCTAATTTATTCAATGACAGTTCCTCACAGAATGTTTTCAGATTTAGTAGGACAAATACAAGTTTTCGTAGGTGGTCTTTTGGTTATTTTTATTTTTTTTTGTTAAGAAAATTATGTTTCTATTGTTATATTTTATGTAATTCACGGCCCCTACATGTTTACTGGGTGTTTATATCTGATTTCCACCGAATTTCTGTTTTAGCTCGTAATTTATTCCTGACATGAAGTTATAATTTTTAGCTATTTCTGACACTATGTAATACTCGTCGGTTGCTTCTACTAATTTACCGTTTACCTCTCGTACGTTTTTATTTGTTATTACTTGTGATTTGAATTTATTTAAAAATACTGGATAGCTTTCATTTTTTATTTCGTCTACAGTGTACATTCTAGATAGCGCGTCTACATTTGCATTTTGAACTCCCGTTTTATATTTTATTTCATAATCATAATCATTGCGTTCAATACCTCACTGGCTACGAGGACATTCCCGAGCCCGTGGAAGAACGCGGCGCTGGTCGGCATGTGCTATACGATAGACCAGCATATAGCCAGGAAAGAAATAAGCTCGCAGCCGCAGCGCAAGCGGAAGTTGTGGACTTTCCGTGCGACTGCGATACCATGACCTCTACGGAGGCCATGTTCCTTGCGTTCAAAAACTTCTCCCTGGAAGTCCTAGAACGTAAAGATGTAGGACGACCCCGCGGGCACGACCCGGACACCTAATTTTAAAACCATAGCGGACAGACGTGTGGCTAGAGAGCGTACGTACAGGGCACGGCGCACTGCCAGAGACATGGGGACAGTCTCCCCTATCCACGGGGGAACAAATCGTCCGAGTGGGCCTAGCCAGAACGACCGTCGCCGTCATCGATGGCGGCGGGGCGAAATACCGGATAGTGGCAGGCGAAGCGCGACCCGATAGCCGGATCAAGGTCCCTAAGACGCCGCCCCCACAAGATCGTCGAACGCACTCCGTACTAAGACCCACCTAGCCGGGAGTGAGGAACGGAATACCTTGCGGGATGAACTGAATGTCCGACCTTCTAGGAGGCTGGTCAGACGGGTCATCTTGCGGGGTGAATTGGGTAACCTCACTCCCTATGAACAAGTTCTTGCCTAGACCGAGAGCTCAAAACAGAGTGGCCAGACCACCTTTCGGGCGAAGCACGTGCACGTATTCAGCTGGCTCTGGGCTTGATACGAGAGAGGCACCGGCAGAAACGGCAATCTATCGATAAAGAGCAAAACCGTACGCGCTATAAAGGGGTCGTCGCGGTACACACAGCGGTGCCCCTATCGACCTGCTTGCGGACAAGACAGTTGCGAGGTCCTGAACGCCGGGTTCAAACCTTGTACCACGGGACTCAGAGTAAGCCCCGTCGAGTCGGCTTGCTAATAGCGCCTCGACGCTCCGAGGGTGCTGGACCCAAGGCGCACGACCGCGTGGACTCACCGAGGACTCGCGCTCGCCCGCACCGGGGAAGGCACACTTGAGGAAGGACTCGTGGTGGTTGTGGGAGTACCGCCTTAGTAGAAGGGGTTTGACTCAGGCGATAATCCGTCGGGCCCTGGCCGCGGCGGTCACTCATTATGGCGCCTGAGGTGAGGCGGCGCCCCGGGCGTGACCCCGGGAGTCATCCGGGGCTACTGCCCGGAAGAGACAACCTCACGGTTACACAAAGGGGCTGAGTGTCTCCGGGGCAACCTGGAAGAACTAGTCGACCCCGCAACACACGGAAAGATTTTTATGCTTGGTATAGATGTCATGTGTGAAACAACTCATTGGACCACGGAGGCACTGATTGATACAGGTAGTCCAATTTCTATTATTAAAGAAAATGCTGTTCCCAAAAATGTAATTTTTATACCTGTTAGTTCTAAACTTTCTGGTATTAATAAAAGTCCATTAAAGGTATTAGGTTAGGTTAACCTAACCTTTTTTTTTTTTTTTTGTGCATGTGCATGTGCTTACCATGACCAACTGGGGGGAACTTTGCCTTTCGGTAATCCTACCCCCAGAAAGCCGAAAGCCGTTTATTAGACAACGGACAAAACAACGTTGGACAGTGGTGGGCCAATCTCCCACTCACTGGTCCTCACAATATTATTATTTACACTAAAAGGGGCTCTGTCCCCTCGAATTTGCCATTCAGGCTACAACAAAATTATTTAAATACTAATTGCCGACTGGAACCCGAAGGCGTTGAACTCGCTGACGTTGACGTTCCTCTTCCTCTCTTGTTTTGAGGACGTTGATCACATAGCTGCACACTGCGTCCCATTTTTTCCGGCTTTCGAGCATCGTCTTCACCGCTGTTTCCGGAGTAAATTCTTTGTTCATTTTCACTTCGAGTTCCCTGCGTTGTCTCCACCACCGGTCGCAATCAAAGAACGCGTGCTCGGCGCTATCAGTAGGGTCCAGGCAGTCTTGACATTCGGTGGCGTTACGCTTCTTGAACCTCCACAAATATTCGCCGAAACAACCGTGTCCGGTCAGAAACTGAGTGATGTGATAGTTTATTGTGCCAAACGACCTCGACACCCATGGTCTCAGATCCGGAATTAGCCGCCGTGTCCGTCCTCCAGTACCGGTGTTTTGCATCCATTCAGTTTGCCACTTGTTCATAGAGTCCTCTCTCAGCTCTCGCTTAGCCGGTAGAGTTAAACCCGCCTTCTTCGCCACGTGTACGATATTTCTCTCCGATACCATGATATGCAAAGGTAGCATACCTGCCACCACCAAAATGGCGTTTGTTGATACAGTCGTATAGGCACACGCCACTCTTTTAGCCATCAGCCGCTGTGGTTTCAATAACTCCTTTTTGTTGACCTCGAAAATTAATACAGACGCCCATATAGGTGATGCATACAACAGCTGGCTCTGCGCAACCGACATTAGCAATTGTCGTTTCTTTTGCCTTGGACCGCCGATGTTCGGCATTAGCCTTGACAGCAAGGCAATTGTTGTTGTCGTCTTGGCCACTGCGCACTCCAAGTGCTTTCCGAAGCCCAGTTTTTTACACATCTCTACTCCTAGGTAACGCACATGTTCTTTCAGTTGCAGCATTTCACCTTCCAGGTAGAATCTAGGCTGCGTGTACCCGCGTTTGGTGGTAAGCATTATCGCTTCGGTCTTGCTCACTGACAGCGTAAGACCGGTCTTCGCCATCCATCTTGACACCGCGTCTAGAGATGAGTTCATGGATTCTTCCAGGAGAGCTGTTGTATGCCCTGTCGCCAACACTGCGACATCGTCAGCAAAAGCTATGAGGCTAGAACTCGACACTCCTCGGATGTTACCTGGCATCGCGGTGCGCAGCAAATCATCGTACATCACGATCCATAAGATTGGTCCGAGCACCGATCCTTGGGGCACCCCACTGGTTACTGCGCGCCGCATCTTGTCCCCGTATAGAATTGCCCTCTCGCTCAGGTAGCTTCTCAAGATTCACAGCAGGTATTCAGGCACTTCCTTTTTTACCATGGCCTCTTCGATCTTTGCCCATGGGGCCGAATTGAACGCGTTCGCCACGTCGAGGCATACCATGGCACACAGCTCCCTCTTGTAGAGTGGACCTGTTCCTGCTTTATTCACCACTTCCATTGCCTTTTCTATAGCGTCTATCGTGGAACGCCCTTTTACGAAGCCAAATTGACGATCGCTTATCCCGCTAGTCTCTTCTAGGTGAGCCTCCAGTCTTTTTTTAATAACTCTTTCGAGGAGTTTGCCGATAATGTTGATCAAGCATATCGGCCGATACGACGACGGCAATTCCAATGGTTTCTTACCCTTTGGTAATAGCACCAGCGTGGCTTCCTTCCATGGTTTCGGGAAGTGACCCTGTAACAGACACCTGTTGAGCGTGTCCAATATTAGCTCTGGTTTTTCGCTATTATCCTCTTTAAGATGATATCCGGGACTCCGTCCGGCCCCGGGGCCTTATTCGTAGGAAGTCTTGCACCAATCGACGCTAGTTCCGCGACAGTTAGCAGCGGGACTTCTCTTGTCGGTCGCGCGACAGGCCAGATGAGGGGCTGATGCATCGGGAACAGAGTATCAACTATGCTTTCTAGTCGTCCAGGTATTGTTATCCCTGTAATAAGTCTCCGTCCTACAAGCTTCTTTGTGACCAGCTTGTAAGGAGTACCCCAGGGGTCGGTCTCTACCTGATTGCATAGTTCGTGCCAGCTTTTGTCTTTGCTCTTCTGGATTTCCGTCTTGAGGTTCATCTTCAGAAGTCTGTACTCTTCGACACTTGTAGCGCAATCCTCGTGCCGTACCCTAGATCTCCGCAGCTTCCTCCTTAGACGCATGCACTCCTTTTTGAGTTCAGCGATAGTCTGTGTCCACCAATAGCATGGTTTTTTCCCCCATTTGTAAGACGCTTTCGGCATACAACTATTGTTAAATGTTAAGTAAATATTATCAATCGTTGTGCAGATAATATTTGTGATATAGCCATGGGTCGGGTAATAACGCCTTATATAACAAGGCACAGGTCACCAGTCCAGTTTCAACGACGCGTCGGAAACATTGCCGATCATTGCGCGTCGTATAATCAAATTTATAATAATCTCAATATCAATTATTAACAATAAATTAATTTAAAATCAAAATACAGTCCACTAGTGTTGTTATAATTTTATTATTAAATTTATAAACTGAGCCGAAACATTGGTCCAGACGAACCGGATCAGAACGTGCGCGTCAAATGGTACATACATTGTAACAAATTTGACTTACAAGTCCATAAGTGTATGGTGAAATATCAAGGAAGAAGACAACTGACCAGGTGAGTGAGTCTAGCAATTTAGCACCTATTTAAATAAAAACGGCTTTATTTCCATAATTTATATTATCCTGTCCTTGTATTAAAATAAACATTGTTGGGGAATATATATTTAAGTCTATATCCACATTAATATATCAGTAAAAACGGTAGGTAGATAAGGGGAAAAGGTCGATCATAATGCCCGATGAAAATAACGAATTGGCTGCTTTTGTTCTACGCCGTGGACAGATAAAAGCACAACTCACTCGTTTTCAAACATTTCTAAATGAGCCAAAGTCCAAGATCATAACGCAATTAAGATTAAGGGCTGAGAAAATTCGCGAAGCATGGAGCGAATTCGACGCAATTCAAAACAATATCGAAATGTTAGACGTTAGTAATAATGAGCAATTACAATATAGGTCTGCGTTTGAAGATCTATATTTCGATTTAATGACCCAAGTTGACGATAAGCTATCGGGAACCAACGCGTCCGTACAAAATCAACAAACAATACAGGGTGATCAAATCGAAGTCACAAAAAATCATAATTTTTCATTAGTAAAACTCAAACCGTTAGAGATTCCTACATTTATGGGAAAGTTCGAGGATTGGGTTACATTTCAAGACATATTTTGCGCATTGGTACACACAAATAAATCAATAACAGATATTGAAAAATTTTGTTATTTAAGAAATGCACTAGAAGGTGAAGCTAGTTCATTAATTAAAAATTTAGAAACATCGTCAACAAATTACGAAATTGCATGGAGAATAATTACAACGAGGTACAACAATACTCGAATGTTAATACAAACACATACGAAGCGCATATTCGATTTGGAGCCGATTAACAAAGAATCGGCTATTAAGTTAAAAAACTTAACCGATTCACTAAATGCACACATTCAAGCGTTAAAAGCATTAAAACATGATCCGTACAATTGGGGTGCATTGCTACTTCATGTCATTTATACAAAACTTGACACAAATTCAATACGTCAGTGGGAAGTAGAAGTGTTGAGAGACGACTTACCGAGTGTGCAGTCAATGATGGAGTTCCTGGGAAAGAGATGTCAAATGTTGGAGTCAGTCGAAAATGCAAAAATGTTAATATTCAAGCAAAATGATCCAAATTATTCGTCAACCAAAACCTCAAAATTTAGAACCTCAAAAAAAGAGGCATCGACATTCCTAACAACGTATAAAATGAAATGTTACTTGTGTCAGCAACCGCACCCAATATATAAATGTACTGTATTCTTAGCACTTAATATACCTTCTAGAATAAGCAAGGTCAACGAGTTGAAATTATGCAGTAATTGCTTAAAAAAGTCCGACCATCGGGTAAACCAATGTCCCGCGAGGAAATGTGGAAAATGTCAAAAACTACATAATTCACTCTTACATCAAGAAAAAGAAGCCAGCTCGGAAGAAGGAAATATACAAGGTAACGGATCAAACGATGCAGTAGTGGTAGCGCATACTGTAGATGCCGCCGACACCGATAATCAAGTACTATTGGCGACGGCAATAATAAAAATATCAAGTTCCGCCGGCAGAAATATACACGGCCGAGCATTATTAGACAACGGGTCTCAAAGTAATTTTATTACGAATCATTTGGTACATAAACTGGGTCTCAAACGTCATAAAGTAAATATACCGATATGCGGAATAAGCGAGTCGAAGAACAATATAAAGTACAAAGTAACAGCTGTCGTGCAATCATTAAATAGTTCGTACGTAACGTCAATCGAGTTTTTAGTGTTATCAAAAATAACAGGTTCATTACCGCATACACCTATACGCGCCATAAGCATTCCCGACAACGTTAATGTTGCAGACCCTTCATTTAATTGTCCGGGCAATATCGACGTTCTTATCGGAGGTGATACCTATTGGAATATAATGTGTAATGAGAAATTAAAAACCAAAGACGGTCCGTATTTGCAAAAAACATTATTCGGATGGGTGGTTGTAGGTAAAACATCAACACAATTAAGTACAACAAAGTTAAATTCGTGTCTACTAACAACTCAAAATCAATACCAAAATTTGGATAACAAAATAGAGTTATTTTGGAAAATGGAGGAACTATCGTCGAAGCACAATTTCACGGACGAAGAAAAATCGTGTATAACGCATTTTAACGAAAACCTCGCTCAAAACGAGGACGGTAGATTTATAGTTAAATTACCGTTCAAAGAAAATTGTCATCAGCTGGGTAACTCATACACCTCAGCTCTACGTAGATTTCTATCATTAGAAAAACGGTTAATAAAGAATCCCGAACTATACATGAAGTATAAAATGTTTATGACTGAGTACGAAAATCTTAATCATATGGAACGCGTTTATGATACGGGCGGCGATAAGCAGTTAATCGATTCCGCGAAATATTTTTATCTACCGCACTCATATGTAATTAACGATCGTAGTAGAACGACAAAGTTACGCGTCGTGTTTGACGGGTCAGCAAAGACTAGTAGCGGTGTGTCATTAAATGACACACTAATGAACGGACCAAAAATACAACCAGACCTATTAGATATCGTGGTACGTTTCAGAACATATAAATATGCATTTTCGGCGGATATAACGAAAATGTATCGTCAGGTGTTAGTTCACGAAGACCATCGCGACTATCAGCGTGTATTATGGAGATCAGATCCAAATGATGAAGTAAAGGTATATAGACTATGTACTGTTACTTATGGGTTGGCGCCAGCAGGTTTTTTAGCAATAAGTTGCATCAATCGTCTCGGCGATAAGACCACTAACACGAAGTTAAAAGAAATAATTAAAAATGATTTTTGTGTAGACGATTGCCTGACCGGGGCAGATTCGTTGTTGGAAGCAATTGAATTGCGCAACGAATTAATTTCGATTATGCGAGGTGGGGGATTTGAACTATCGAAATGGACAACGAATCATACAGATTTACTTCTAAATCATAATAAAAATGAAATAACGACCGTACCAATGGATAGGGAAAGCGTGAAAACTTTAGGTTTATACTGGGAGCCGAAAAGTGATTACTACACGTATGTCGTACAAGTACCGAAGGTAAAAGGTGAAGTAACAAAAAGACACATTCTTGCAGGCCTAGCAACGTTATTTGACCCATTAGGCCTAGTAGGCCCGATAATATTGATGGGAAAAATATTGTTACAAAGTTTATGGCGCGAAAAAATCGGTTGGGACAGCCCAGTTCCACATCACATACAATTGGAGTGTGAAACATACAATAATTGTCTAAATGAGCTCAATTCATTTAGTATACCTCGGTGGCTGGGTTCCGACAAGAATAAACAAATAGAGATACACGGATTCGCTGATGCATCTATGAAGGCATACGGTGCGTGTATATATATGCGCACAATAGACACGGACGGCATCGTTAAATCGCAATTAGTATGTGGAAAGTCTCGTATCGCGCCAGTAAAGGTTATTTCAATCCCCAGACTAGAGCTATGTGCAGCACTTCTCTTATCGCGTCTAATAAACGTAATTATACCTGCACTTAATCTGAATATATTACGACGATATTTATGGACGGATTCGACCGTCACGTTAGATTGGATATCCGCGGAGTCGAACAGGTGAAAGACGTTTGTTGCGAATCGTGTAGGTGAAATCCACACGTTGACCGATCGCGCGGAGTGGGGGCATGTGACGTCAAGCGATAATCCAGCAGACGTGTTGTCGCGTGGGTGTACGCCTAGCGAACTAAAATATAACACTCAGTGGTGGCATGGTCCAGCATGGCTGGAGAGTAATACGTTTAAATGTTCAACTTCATACGTAAAAAACATTGAACATGTTAACGATGTTCAAAGTGAGGAAAAGACCGCACTAATCGTTGTATGCACCTCACAAAAAGACGTGTCGTTAGATATCAATAAATATTCGTCGCTGACCAAATTACTACATGTCGTTTCGTATTTATTAAGGTATAAAAATAATGCGTTATCGAAACGGAACAATACCTCTCGTATCGTCGGACCGTTGAATGTAAACGAGGTCTTAATGGCGACCAAAACTATTATAAAACTTATACAACGCGCACATTTTTCAATAGAAATTGAAGAGTTAAAAAATAATCGTAATGTGTCACCAAAAAGCAAATTGAATAATTTCTTTAAAAATAATTAATTTAAAAAAATCAAAAATATAGTCCACTAGTGTTGTTATAATTTTATTATTAAATTTATAAACTGAGCCGAAACATTTGGTTTGGAGTTTTGATCTCGCAAGGTAAATTTTTGTGCGGAGTTTAGGTTGAATTTTTGGAGGTCCTTATGTACTTGACACCCTCTATAGTTAGCTGGGTTAGGTTAGGTTCAAAAGGTTAAGTTCCTTGAGTTCAAAACCTTCTCCAGGGAAGTTCTAGAACCTAAATATGTAGGACGATCCCGCGGGCGCGACCCGGACCCCTGATTTTAAAAATATAGTGGAAAAGGCGTGTGGCTAGAGGGCGCACGTGCAGGACACGGCGCACTGCCAGAGACATGGGGACAGTCTCCCTTATCCACGCGGGCACCTAACCTAACCTCGTCCGAGTGGGAATAGCTGAAACGACCGTCGAATGTCAGCGACGGCGGCGGGGCGAAAGCCTGCGAAACACCGGATAGTGGCAGGCGAAGCGGGACCCGATAGCCGGAGCAAGTGCGCTTAGACGGCGCCCCCACAGGATCGTTGAACGCTCTCCGTACTAGGACCCGCCTAGCCGGGAGCGAGGGACGGGAAACCTCGCGGACGAATTGGGTGCCCTCACTCCCTTATGAATGAATTCTTGCCTAGACCGAGAGCTTGAACAATAGAGGCCAGACCACCCTTCGGGCGAAGCACGTGCGCGTATTCAGCCGGCTCGGGGCTTGAACGGAAGAGGCACCGGCAGAAACGGCAATCTGTCGAAAAATATCAAATCCGTACGCACTAGAAGGGGGTACGAGACCTTTACATATTATATTTAAAATACATATATAACCCCCGATTGTGACGGTATGCCACTTTTGTAAAATATACAAAACTTTTGATTTATTTAAGTCTCTATGATTGTGCACTTTTTCAATTATATCACAGAAATTTAATTTTTATCTAGAAATACCAACAAGTCATCGAACAACTATTGCATTCTAAAAAAAAAAAAAAAAACAATGCGAAAAGTTACGAAATTTAATTAATAAATAAAATGGAGGTCAAACTCCAATCGACAAATATGTATCAACAATATGTTATTATTAGGGACCGGATTTATATGCAAATGCATATATGTATTGGAATAAGCTTTTTGAAATCTGATGAAAATTGTCCCCTCATTTAGATCATTCTTAAAAAAATAACACTAATTTTTTATTTTGTATATTATTTTGCATAGTTCAACGTTTTCACCTATTAAATGCATATTTGTAGTTTTACAGTGTATATTATTATTTATAACACATATATTCGTTTTTCGTCGTATTTTTCGTTCACAGTCACATAATATCAATAAAATTGATACCGGTCGTTATTTCCAAAAGAGTCTATGTGAAACCGCGAAAATAAAACAGCGAAACACTCATAGCGAAAAGTAAGAAAACCTATACGTATATAGTATATACTACAGATAATCGGAGGAATTTAACGTTTGAATACATTAGGAATATGATAATAAATGTGATCATCAATGCAATAAGGTAAAATATGAATTCAATTTTGTTTCAGTTTTATTATGTGAGTTAATACTTTATAGATTGGAGATGCAGAATGTTAAATGGCAACGAGACGACAAAATACTTTAAAGCTTTTTATACTTTTTAATACCATATTAATTAATAAATATTGTTACATCATTTTACATACATATCTTTACATAGGTTTAAACAAAATTTTAAATGCATATTTAAGTACATTTTGAAAATAAATATATATTTCATAACATCTTCTTCTTCTTCTTAAAGCTTAACGGACATGATCCATCGCTGCCACCATTATTTCACTCCATCGCCTTATCATTCGCATCTTCCATTTTTACGTTATAATGGATCATTTTAGATCTTTTACTATTACATCCTTCCATCTTGTTCGGGGTCTTCTACAGGTCTTTTCACCACAATTCTTCCTTCTGTAATTCGTTTATAGTTTTATAGTCTGCCCTCCAAACATGTTCAGCCCATTCTATCCTCTTGCTTGCTATACGATAATATATTTGGTCTTCCATATAAATTCTGTAGGTCATTGTTATGTCTTCTTTCGTATGTTCTCGTTTCTATATTATAAACTGGGTCAAATATTTTCTGAGCACTTTTCTAACTTGTGTATAGAATTACCTTCGATTCTCTCGATAATAGCTCGATCTGAATAGTTTAAGTAGCTATAATAACATCGGTTCGTTAGCTACCCGTTCTTTATTTCTTCATGTACGTTGTTTTGCTGTTTATGTTTATACCTAAATATTTAAACGCCTCTACTTTTCGAAGATATAAGGATCTACTTAGATTTAAATCATTTCTATCATTCCGTGAAATACACATGTATTTTGTTTTCTCTTGATTGACTTTTAGACCCATAATCTTGCCTGCTTCTAAGAATTTTATTGTGGTTTGCTTCACTTCGTTTCTAGAATTACCCAGAATTTCCACATCGTCTGCATAAGCAAGGATGGTTTAATTTTCACTTCCATTTTCGAGTTTCATTTGCTGTTCTCACTACCCATTCCAAAGTATGTTGAATAACATCGGTGACAACGCATCTCCTTGACGAAGGCCAGATTTTACTTCGAACTTTCGACATTTCCAACTTAATGCGTAATA